GTTAGTCTATAAGGTACCACAGGATTTTTCGTTGTTTACTTTCAATCTTAATGCTTTCTTTTTAAATGTGTTTATTTGGACCTCTGTCTGGAAGGTGTTAAAATAACATTTCCCAGTATATTTAATAAACGCACAATTTTACAATTAGACGCAAGACTTACTTGAATTAGAATTTTTTTGAGTTTTGGCAACCTAGAAGTATTTCTATTTTTGGTAGTCAGTTTCTGTGAATAGCATATGTTTTGTTAACCCTTTTCTTCTTTATACTTAGGCCAAACCTTTATTATAAACTTCTATCAGCATAACTTAAGTCATTCCGGGGTGTGGAAAATCCACATACCTAAGCAAAGCAGTTATACTGACCTTAAACACCACCACCACCACCCTCCATCCCTTGTAGGCACCGCTATTTCAATGAAAGAGCTTCTCCCACTTGCACAGCTAACTCGTCTCACAGGAGTGGAATTATTAAGATGGCAGGAGCGCTCTCTTCTATTGTTTTAGCGTGTTTTCACCACATGTGTTTTAGCAGTGCACCTGCATCGCAGATAACTGTGTCAAAGTAAATTTGTAGTGTAGCCTTACCCTACTTATTACAAGTGGGCACCAGTTCTGGTGATCTCAAACGTGCAAAATGCATACAATGAACTATATAATCAATGCTACGAAGACATTTTAAATATAGCCTTTGTTACAAAGACACAAACTAAATTATCAGATTAATTACTCAATACTTTGTCATAAATTTCCCAGTTTAGAGGAAATGCAGTTTAAAAAAGCAATTCAGTGACTCATTAACACCAGCACCCCACATCTAAAAAGTGAAACGGATTGCTTTATTCAATATTTGATCTCTAATACAGATTATTTTAAAAATTAATGAAGTAGAAAATGATTATGCACAAGCCTTAAATTAGGGACGTAAATGATTAATTTCCAAGCATCGCCCTTACCCGATGATGTTTACCGGTTACAGTTAAGAAGTGGGGGCTGGAATAGCTCCCCACCTGCCACGGAAAAGGGGATGCTCCAGCCTGGCCAGAGCAGCCTCCGTCTGTGACAGGGGGCTGCTGTAGTCCAACCGCAGCTCCTCCCGTCTGGTCCTATATAACTGATTAACCATAAAGTTTAACTGGTTAACTAAATGAACAGGATTTTACATCCTTGCCTTAAATACGCTGACAATTTCCTACATCCATTTGTAAAACTGGAAAATTGTAGTGTGGCAATTTTCCCCCGGTTAATATTGATCACCTTGTAAATATACACTAATACCATTGTTCATAAATTACTTTGAAAAATAAATAAAATAATCACAAATCTTTGTCATTTTGTTTTTTGCACTGTACAATATTATGTGGCTAAAGTTTAGTACACTGATAAAATAAATATAAGGTGTGACTTTCTTTTTTGAATGTCAAGTTTGTAGTAAAGGTCCACCAACATGCTGCAAAAAGAGGCAAATTGTAAGATAATCAAAATGAAACTAAAACACTTTATCAGTGATCCACAAACTGTGGGGCATGCCACATGGGAGGATGGGGAAGAGCATGACCAAGCCCTTCAAGGTGTCCCTATACTACATATTAAACATGGTTTTGTTGGACCTAGATTTGGTGTTCTTTGAGATTTCACATTGTATTGTCAAAATTAGGGTCCTACCAAATTCATAGTTCACTTTGGTCGATTTCTCAGTCATAGGTTTTAAAAATGATAAATTTAATTATTTCAAAATCTGAAATTTTGCATTATTGTAATTGTAGGGGTCCTGACACAAAAAGGAGTTTTGTGGGGTCCCAATGTTATTTTATTGGGGTTGCAGTATTGTTATCCTTACTTCTGTGCAGCTGCTGGCAGCAGCACTGCCTTCAGAACTGGGCAGCTGGACTAGGTCTACACTGCGGAGCTATTTCGGGATACTAAAAGTATCCCAAAATAGCTATTTTGCATCTAGTGAAGCAGCCCATTACTTGTAAATAGATTTTGAAATAATGGGTGGCTTATTCTGACGTCCTGATAACCCTCGTTCTACAAGGATTAAGGGGAATTTTGAAATAAGCTATTTCGAGTTAAGGGCGCAGTGTATATACACCCCTGAAGAGCAGTGGCTGCTGGCCAGAAATCCATCCCTGAAGGCATATCTACTGCCAGAAGCAGCGCAGAAATAACAGTGACATTATATGGTATTGCCACCCTTGTTCTTTTACAGCTACCCGCAGAGCTAGGTCTTTAGTCAGCAGTTGTCACTCTCTGGCACCCAGCTGTAAAAGCAGCAAGGTTGCAGGAATTATAAATGAGGTCCTACCAGGTTTTGGAACATATAGAAAAACTTAACAACAAATCACCGGGACTGGATGGCATTTATCCAAGGGTTTTAAAAGAACTCAAATGGGAAACTGTACAACTATTATCTGTGGTTTGTAACCAATCCTTTAAATCGGCTTCTGTATCTAATTACTGGAAGATAACTAACGTGACACCAATATTTAAAAAGGGCTTTAGAGGCGATCCTGGCAATTACAGACTGGTAAGTCTAACTTCATTACCAGGTAAATTAGTCGAAACAATAGTAACGAATAAAATTGTCAGGCATGTAGAAGAAAATAAGTTGTTGGACAAAAGTCAACATGGTTTCTGTAAAGGGAAATCATGTCTTACTAATCTATTAGAGTTCTTTGAAGAAGTTAACAAACATGCAGACAAGGGGGATCCAACAGATATAGTATACTTAGATTTTCAGAAAGCCTTTGACAAGGTCCCTCACCAAAGGCTCTTGTGTAAATTACATTGTCATGGGATAAGAGGGAAGGTCCTTTCATGGATTGAGAACTGGTTAAAAGACAGGAAACAAAGGGTAGGAATAAATGGTAAATTTTCAGAATGGAGAGGGGTAACTAGTGGCATCCCCCATGGGTCAGTCCTGGGACCTATCGTGTTCAACTTATTCATAAATTATCTGAAAAAAGGGGTAATCAGCGAGGTGGTAAAGTTGCTGATGATACTAAACTGTTTAAGATAGTCAAGACAGAAGCAGACTGTGAAGAACTTCAAAAATATCTCACCAAACTGAGTGATTGAGCAACAAAATGGCAAATGAAATTTAATGTGGATAAGTGTAAAGTAATGCACGTTGGAAAAAAAAAACCCCAAATATACGTACAGTATGATGGGGGCTAATTTGGCTACGATAAATCAGGAAAGAGATCTTGGAGTTACCGTGGATAGTTCTCTGAAAACTTCCACACAGTGTGCAGCGGCGGTCAAAAAGGCAAATAGGATGTAAGGAATTATTAAGAAAGGGATAGAAAATAAGACACAGAATATCTTACTACCCCTGTATAAAATTATGGTACGCCCACATCTTGAATACTGTGTACAGATGTGGTCTCCTCACTTCAAAAAAGATATTTTGGCCTTGGAAAGGGTTCAGAAAAGGGCAATTAAAATGATTAGGGGTTTGGAACGGGTCCCATATGAAGAGAGGCTAAAGCGACTTTTCAGTTTAGAAAAGAGGAGACTGAGGGGGGAATAGGATAGAGGTATATAAAATCATGAGTGGTGTGGAGAAGGCGAATAAAGAAAAATTATTTATTAGTTTCCATAATAGAAGAACTAGAGGACACCAAATGAAATTAATGGGTAGCAGGTTTAAAACTAATACAAGAAAGTTCTTCTTCACACAGCGCATAGTCAACCTGTGGAACTCCTTGCCAGAGGAGGCTGTGAAGGCTAGGACTATAACAGAGTTTAAAGAGAAGCTAGATAATTTTCTGGAGGTTAGGTTCATAAAAGGCTATTAGCCAGGGGATAGAAATGGTGTCCCTGGCTTCTGTTTGTCAGAGGCTAAAGATGGATGGCAGGAGACAAATGGCTTGATCATTGTCTTCGGTCCACCCCCTCTGGGGCACCTGGCGCTGGCCACTGTCAGCAGACAGACTTCTGGGCTAGATGTACCTTTGGTCTGACCCAGTACAGCCATTCTTATGTAATGCCACTGACCAGCATTAAAACCACCCCTCTCCAGTTACCCAGCTCCGAAGGCAGTGCAGAAGTAAAGGTGGAAATAACATGACCCTCCTAAAATAGCCTTATGAGTCCTCTGCAACATCATTTTAGGTCAGGACCCACAATTTGAGAAACACTGGTCTCCCGGGTAAAAGCATGGCTGTGAGTTTGGTAGGACCCTATTTATAATTCCTGCAACCAGCGGTCACAGAACCATACTGCACTATGCAGGCCTTCTGACTCAGGTCTGCTGCTTGTCCTGCATACGTACTACAACATAAGATTGTCACAAAGATTCGGACAAGATTTGACTTGAACCAGAGCCACAGCACAACTTGAACTCTAACACTTCCCCCTCCCTGACCCAGGATCCTAGGACTTGGATTATGAATGCTTGCTAATTTGAATCTAATTGTTATGTGTGTGGATGGAAGAGGGGCAGCATTTGGCCTGTCCACACTAGACAGCTTACAGCAGCACATCTGTATTGATGCAGCTGCACTGCTATAAAATCTCCTATGCAGCCACATAAGAAAGAGCTTTTGTGGGCATAACTGGACCACTCTCAAAAAGGGATGGGAGCTATATCAGCAGGAGAGCATCTATCAGCCTTGCCCGGGTGGGGGTCACACAGCCCATCCAACTGAGATGAGTTTTAAGAACAAAAGTATTAGTGTAGACATAGTGCAGTGCAGACATGCCCTGACATGCCTGCAGGACATCTATCAGTCACACACAGTGCAGAAAGGATTTCTTTCACAGGCCAGAGGTTAACACACTTCCTTTGAGAAGAGCAAGGAACAAAGCAGTGAATGCCCTTTCGCCCCGCACCTACTGCCCGAAATCTCTTGCTTTGGGTCTGGGGCGCAGGGTGGTCTGGCTACCGATGGTTTCCCTCCCAGTGCCAGCAGCTCCTCAGTGACGCGAGTGAGCCCAGCCCCCCGGTGCCGACCCCACGGACGGAGGACGCTACGGCTCGGCGCGGCCTTGGTTACCTGCGGACGGGCAAACGCATCACTTCGAGCTACCCCTGCTCTGTCGCAACGCAACGCAACGCAACGCAACACACCACCGCGGCTCTCAACTTCCCTGCCTGCTCCCGCCGCTTCCTGTCTTCTCTTTGCCCCAGCCACGCCTCCACCTTGTTTAAAGGGGCCGTTTGTAACGGGAGAAAACACCGAACGTCTTCCCCAAGGGCCACACTGGGGCCGGGGGAACAGCCGCACGCAGGGGGTGGGCGATCGCCTCCTTGCCCAAGCTGGGAGGAGGAACCGTTCCCGCTCGCAACAGAGGAGCTAGAGGGAAGAGCAGGTGACAGGTCAGACATAGACCAGCCTCCCCACTACTGCCTTCACCGAAGCGGAACCGCGGCTAAGCTTTTGGGCTAGCACTGGGGAAAAGATGGGGGAGGGGTGAGAGGCCGTAATTAGGAGACACACATACAACCCACCTAAAATGGCCGTTCTTAACTTTTGAATCAAGGGTGGCGGCCCTGCCCCCTCTCACTAGACTACAATTCCCAAGTTCCAGCCTCCCAGGATGCATCACACCATCACGCTTCCTGCCGCCTCCCTCCAGACTACAATTCCCAGCAAGCAATGCGCTCCCCCTGCCAAGTGGGGTTGGGGGGAGTTGGTAAATAGTGGCAGAGAGCGAGTTCCTAGAGTAAGATGGCGGCGGCAGCGGCGGCAGCTGCGGTGGCGCTTTGAGTGGCAGTGGACACTACCCCTCGCGCTGTGGCTCTTACTGTGGGTCGGGGCAGCGGCGCTGCACTGAGGGCAGAGGCGAGGAGTCGAGTATCGGAGCTGCGGCCCCGGCAGCTGCAAAGAGGCCAGGCGCGGGTAGCGCCACCCCGGGAGCCGAGAGGTGTCGCCCAGGTAGAGCCCCCCCGGCCGTCGCTCCCGTCCCCAAGGCAGGAGGAGGCTGCTGTGGGCGGGGGCCGCTCGCTGTTTCCCTGCTCGACGGTGGCTGCAGGCGGCGCCTCCATGTCGGACAACCAGAGCTGGAATTCCTCCGGCTCCGAGGAGGATCCCGAAACCGAGTCCGGGCCGCCTGTTGAGCTCTGCGGGGTCCTCAGCAAGGTGAGCAACAGCAGCCCCTTTCCTCGGGGGGACTCGGAGTCTGCTCTTTCCCGGGCGGCTGGGGCCGCGCGCACCCCCGCGCTACCCTGCAGAATTGGGCTGGGCTCCCGTCTCGCTGGCAGTTACCCGTGTGGAGGGGCAGCCCCGCACCCCTTCGCCCACCCCGCGGAGACACGGGGCTGGCTTGGCTGGGGCAGCGGCCACCTGACCTAAGAGAGCCTGAAAATGAGTCATTCCCCGGCAAACACCCACTCCCAGACCGCGGGCGGGGCTGTAACGGCCCACACATCCCGCGAGGGCGTCCCCTCCGGCCCTCCCTGCTGCCAGCGCAGCCCCCGCAGTTCTCCATCTCTCTCCTGCCGCTGTCAGTGCTCTCCTTCCCGTAAGCTAAGCTAGGCGAGGCGGGGAGCCCCGCGGACAGGGTGTGCAGACTGTCTTAAAATCCATCCTGCAGACCGATGGGGGGTGCTCTCATAGTCCCCTTTCCCTTCTTAAATGGGTAGGCGTACTCTGCATGAATGAGTGTTCCCTTGTCTCCTCCTTCTTGATCCCCCAACTTGGCACCCCATCCCCTGACTCACCCTCCGCAAGCGTACATTTTGGGACCGCAGGCTTGTAACTAGACTGATGTAGAAGGTGAGCAGGGGCAGTGAGGGCATCTCTATTCATCAGGTTTTTGTCTGGAACCTGGCAATCCTATCCTAGCTAGTGTGCGTTACAAGCTAGTTTGGAAGGATACCTGTGATGACTAGGATTGGACTCCAGCACTGAATCTGTATAGGGAGGAGAGAGAGTTCTTGGGGGTCACGAAGGAAACACTTTTTTTTCTTGCGAAGACTTTTTGCAGGAAATAGCAGCATGTGATGTGCCCTTACAAATCACTTCTAATCAATAGGAATACGTCAAAGAGGAGTGGCATGGCCTTTAATCCCGGCATTAAAACAGTGTAATAAAATACCCTTGCAGCAAGAGAACGGGGTAAAGAGGTGAAAAAGGAAAAATTGTATGGATTATTGCTTTTAAAAATTGTGGTGCTTATGCTTATCTGTGTAGGAATTAAATCTATTTTTACTCTTTTATTGCTGTGAATTTGATAAAAATGAATTGTGTGATATCGGGTTAGGGAATTAAGTTTTAAATAATGTTTTAAAGACTAAATATTTTAATTGAACAATTTCAGTAGAAGAAAGTAGCTTCTCAATATATACTTAATGCCAAGAGAATTTAAATATTTTTGCATATCTCTCTATATTCAGAGGGGTTAAGGCAGAACTGAGTGGATGGGTCATGGGATATGGAGATCATGAGCAGCTCTGGATCATGAGTAGGGAAAACATGTGGGCTATATCCAGCCCTTCAGGGCTTTTAATCTGGCTTTCAGGATTATCAGTCTGGCAGTGCCGTGGGACTAAGGCAGGCTACTCCTGCCTTGGCCTGTGTCACTCCACAGAAGTGTTCGGCATATCCCTGCAACCCCATGGGGTCGAGGGCTCTACATGCTGTCCTCATCAGCAGGCACCATTCCCCCAGCTCCCATTGGCCAGGAATGGGGAACCATGGTTTATAGCTGTTGTGGAGACAGTGACAGCAGGCAAGGGTAGCTCATGGGGCCACCCGTTTTCCGCCCCCTCCCCCCAGGAGCCAACTACCTTAGGAGCAGAATGGGGCCAGGACAGGGTGGGAGCCTGCTTTGGCACTGCTGACCAGGAACTGCCCAAAGTAAATGGTGCTTGGCTGGAGCCTGCACCTCTAGCCCTCTATTTCAGTCCCTGTCCTGAACTCCTGTCCTGAGCCCCCATCCCTGACCTAGCCTTACATTTATGGCCCACCATACAATTTCCCTAGAGCCTCAAAGTTTGCCCAGTACTTGATACTGAAAAAGTTATGTTACTATGTTTTTGTGAGGGAGTGAGACTCTGTTTATGAACTCTCCAATTAAAAAATATTTCTAAGATCATAGATGAGAGAAGTGCTGAGGAGAGGAAGCAGGCCTTGGCACTGATCTTCAGGATTTCATGTTTGATGCTGTGGAGGGGACAGGAAATATGTTTTTACATGATTTGGCTCAGAAATGTTGGGTTTATTACCCAAGATTTCTGCAACATTATCTCCCTATTAGATGATTCAGATCATTAAGTAGAAAATCTGGTATTTGTTTCTAGTAGTATGCCATCAGTTTTAATATTGGCAAATGAAATGAATAAGAATTATATTCTAGGTCCTAATGATAAATTATCACGTATGTTAAATCCTAAAGAATTTCCCATACAAATGTGTCATCTTATAAATGCACTGTGTGCAATCTTTAGAGATATGTATGTAGTGCTTATACTCATATGATAGCTGTTGCCTTTACTGTTAGCGTCCAAGTGAAAACACATAATGAGAAATAATCTGAATTGTGAAATATGATAAAACCTGCTGCAGTAAATCTGCTGGAAGGTATTATGATTGGCTGACTTCAAATTCTTTGCTAGTTAATTCATGTCTTCAGTAATACCTGAGTCAAATGATTTTTTTATCTGAAATGATTGCAGCATAATATGTTTAGGTTAAGTTAAACATAAAAATACTTTTTAAAAATAAAACAATATTCCAAACCATTGATAAAGGGGTTACATTTCCTTGCATTCCCTGCAGTAGCTTAGGTAGTCAGGATTTCATCATTTTTGCGGGAGGGAAAAGCTTGATTGTACTGCTTGCCTGTAGAGGGAGTTCATGAGGAAGTTAATGTAAAATAGTTGCCATGTGAAATTAAAGTGCAATAGCTATTCTACTCTAACCCCTTTTGTGGTCACTCAGATTCTACACTAAGTGCCTGATCTAAGTACAAGCACTTAAGGTGAAAGAAGAGTGTCCACGTAAGGCATTAGTGTAGAATAGCTATTTCTGGGTCTTTTCCCTCATTACTCCAGAAAGCCCTCATTACTCCACAAGTAAGGGGAAAAGAAGCTAAGTATTTAGCTCTTCAATTTTTAAATGTATTTGCCTAAATTTGCCCATGCAGAGTCCTACTGATTAGAAATGTTGACCACATGAAAACACTTTTTACAATGTGGGGGCTGTTATCACCGAAATTTACTGGGGAGGGAAATGCATGTAGTCGACAGCATTAACCTATAAGCTTTTGCTTATCTATAAATTGGTTAATCGACTGCAGTATTACATCCCTACCTTGTATAAATGAATCTTTATATGATCTGGAGAATGAGACTTCTTAAAAGCAATATTTTTATCTTATGTAAACAGATATGAAAACTCTCTATTCTACTTTAATGGAAAGTTCTGCAACATCAAAACCAAAAGATTAGCTTCTAAGCCTAAAGAAGACAAAACCGAACTGTTTTACCAGTTATGTTTCTAATTTTTCACTGAACTATTCTGCGTTCATGAATTTAATTGTAATGAACATTTTGTTTTAGTTGGTTGTGATACCACTTCTACAATCAAGACATAATTTCAGTCTTATTGTTAATGAAGTAAAATTGGCTTAGGTTACCGTGCAACAAAAGTGGTTGAAAAGAATTGATGATTTCTGATCAAAGAGATAGCAAATTTGTCATTTGGGGAGAATTTTGAAAAACTGCATTTTTAATTTTTAAATTATCAGGAAGTTTAACAAGCAAACAAGGTGTCATCTCTTATCAGTATTTTTACTATTTGCAGACTTTGCTAGCTCTTTGAGATATATTTCTTTTTTCTTTATAGTGGACTAACTACATTCATGGATGGCAGGACCGATGGGTAGTCTTGAAAAACAACACTCTAAGTTACTACAAATCTGAAGATGAAACTGAGTATGGCTGCAGGGGCTCAATTTGTCTAAGCAAGGCTGTTATTACGGTAAGCACTACCTCACAGTTGATATGTTTCACCAGAGCTTTATAGTATAGTTTAT